TCAGATTCATGAGTAAATTCTCCCGAATTGAGGCTAGAAACAATGGCGTGGTCCCTTAATCCAGTTTGATTTAAAAATTTGGGTCCCTGCTATTTCAGTTGTTGACTCTCACAATCTAAACATGTTCAGTTACAATAGTACAGATCTAACTTTCTCAAGCAGGAGAAGTCACATGAGCCCATCAAAACAATGTTATCCAATATCCTCTGAGGAGCGGTCAGAGATCTAATCCAGCTCAAGATTATCCGAAAACAGTAACAGCTTCTTCTTGCTATCCTTCTTTGGGTTTCCAGAATTGCCTTCATTTTGGTTACTCTATCATCCCAGTTCCATTTCCGCCCCCGTCCCTTAGTACACAAATGCTGTGCCAGTAAATTCTTTACACAGGCAATAATATAGAAACGCAACTTCATAAAATCATAGAATCCCTACAGCGTGGAAGCAGGCCATTAGATCCCCCAAGTCCACACCGACCCTCCGAAGAACATGCCACCCAGACTTATACCCCCCTACCCTATCCCTGAACACTATGGGTAATCGAGCATGGCCATTCCACCTAACCTGCACATCTTTGGACTGTGGGAGGAAACCAGAGCACCCGGAGGAAACCCACACAGACACCGGGAGAAAGTGCAAACTCCACATAGACAGTCGCTCGAGGCTGGAATCGAACCTGGGTCCCTGGTGCTGTCAGGCAGCAGTGCTAACCACTGAGCCATTGTGTCGCCCAGTATGAAGGGGCAGACGGTCCAGAAAAGATGGGATGGCAGTATTTGACCTAATTTGTTGTCGGGTCAGTGAAGATTTTCAGCAGTTTATTTCACAATATGAACATTTGCATGTAGAGTTTTATAAGCCACACAAAATTCTGACCGATATCCACTCAAATCAGGTACATTATTATTAACATTGTAAGCAGATATTTTTTGTCAATATTTAAATTGTTGTTTTATGCAATGTTTTAAGAGCTTATAATGGGAGTTCTAGTTTGGTTCTCCATTCAATGGCTTCCTGAAATGGTAAGTGGAACAATGACAAACCCTCTGTTTGAGAAGATACAACATAGGTCGACAATAACAGGAAATAGAGAAAGTAGCGTATTGTCTTCTGGGCTGGGAAAGATTAATTTATAAAGGAAAGAACATTTTCCAAAACGTTTATACTGAAGAAAAATAAGCCAGTGTATGGAGATAAATAACCTTTCCCACTCAATAATGACAATACGTCTCATAAATTTTATAGTGTCAATATATGAGAAGGTGCTGATAATTTCAGACAACTGTCTTGATCTACTTAAACCCGAGGCAGGAACAATACACAAACAGTGCTTCTCAATAAAGAAATGTGACACAAATGTTCATTGTCCTAATGATGCGCTGACCGGTATGGCTAAAAGGAAGAGTAATGTTTTAGCATGGTTTATCTCCATGCTCTCCGACATAAGAGTTGATGGATGTGAAAAGACAGCTATATGTTATAAAAGGCAAAGGGAATGCATTACATTCAGTCATGTTGTATTCTTCAAAGCTGATCAAGAACTCACTATTTTTGAATACCACCCATGGATCAGTTGGTTAGGTAATAACATTTGGAAAGGTATTTGTACTGAATTTGACAATAATTCAAGAAAAACAAATGTACTTTAAACCATTGCAAAATGAAAGTTATTCTGACTCGACGCATTTGCATCTGAAATAACTATTTTCATCCACAAAGCCAAAAAAATCCTTGTTAAAGCAGTTACGTCACTTATAATACTACACTTCTCTAGTATGGGGAGAGCTTATAATGTGAGTTCTAGTTGGGTTCTGCATTCAATGGCTTCCTGAGGTGGTAAGTGGAACAATGACAAACCCCCTGCTTGAGAAGATACAACATAGTTCGACAGTAATAAGAAATAGAGGAAGTAGTGTGTTATTGACGGAGAGAAGCAAACATGCAACACACATCAGATCATACCTTGCAGCCCTGCCATATGGTCATGAACAGTCATGGAGACTTCACTAACTAAAGGAAGGAGGAAGTTTCACGAACATTCTCACTCTCAACAATAAGGGAATCTTGTGTATTTGTAAGCAAGACAAGGCTGAAACATTCACAATCATTTTTATGGAGAGGCCAAGTAGATTATCCACATTGCCCAGCTTTTGAGGTTCCCTGTATTATAGAATTCAGTCAAACCAACTTGATTCGAACTTTGATATTAAAAACAGTTGAGCACACTGGATACAGCAAAGACCTATGCATCCTGATAACTTTTGGCTTTAGTTTTGATGGCTGATGCTCCAGAACTTGCCATGTCTTTAATGGAGTTGTACAACGACTACATCTACCTGACAAAATGGAAAATTGCCCAGGTACGTCCTGTCCGTGAAAAGCAGGACAAAACCAATGTTCCCAATTAATGCCCTATCAGGCTACCCTCAATCATCACAGAAGTAATGGAAGATGTCAATGACAATGCTATCAAACTGCACTTACTCATTTACATACTCACATACTCACTGAAGCATCTTACGGGTTCTAGCAAAACATGTGCCTCTAAACTTCATTACACTTTTGGGGTAAACATTGAATTCCAGAGAGGAGATGAAGTGTGAGTGAATATCCTTCACAAGGCATTGTTTGATCCAAGTGTCAAACAAAGGAGTCTTCATAAAACTGAAGTTGATGGGAATCAAGAAGAAAAGTCTCCATTGGCTGCAGTTATACATAGCACAATGGAGTTATGGTGTTAGAAGCCTATCAGTTCAGTTGAAGACAACAGAGCAGGAGTTCCTCAGGGTTATATCCTAGGTAGTTCAACTTCAGCTGCTTCATTAATGACTTTCTTTCCTTCATAAAGTTAGAAGTGGAGACGTTCATTGATGAATGTAGTGTTCAGTCCCACTTGAAAATGCTCAGACAACGAAGCTGTCTGTGCCCATATGCAGCAAGAGCTGGATATTCACAACTGGAAAGTAACATTCATAGTACTAATGTTGTGGGTTTCCATCGGGTGTTCTGGGTTCCTCCCATAGTCCAAATTTGTGCAGGTTAAGTGAAATGGACAGGTTAAATTGCTCATAGTGTCCAGGGATGTGTAGATTAGGTGGATTAGCCATTGGAAATGGGGAGGAATAGGGTAGAGAATGAAGTCTGGTTGGATGTTCTTCAGAGAGTCGGTGTTACCTTGTTGGGCCGAATGGCCTGTTCCCACACTACAGGGATTCTATTCTATGGATCTAATAATGATTAGTTCCAACAAGATTATAACCATCTCCACAGATATTTAATGATATTACCATCATTGAATCCCCAATCAGCAACATTTTGGGGATCATCATTGACCAAAAACTCAACTGGACCAGCAATATAAACAGCATGTCAAATACTGTGGTGGGAAACTCTCCTCCTGCTTCTTCTCCGTTACTGGTCCACCACCTCTAAGGTATAAGACTGCTGTGTTATGCAATACTCTCCACTTGTCTCAATTAGTGCACTCCAAGAACAATCAAGACACTTGGTACCATTCAGGACAATGCTGTTCACTTGACATATGTCTAAAATGTTCTCCCTGCACCACAGAGCCATAGTGTGAAATGCAGAAATCAAGTTGTGCATATCAGGGGTTCACAAACTGCAATTAAAAATACATTATCAGACAATCTAAACTTGTGTTGTTGGTTGAGGACACTATAAGAATTCCGAATGCCCTTGAATAACATCAAAAGTTATTTTATGTCCACTTCATCCTACAATGTCGTTTTCAATAATGCAGCACTCCCTCAATAGTGCACTCAAGGTCAGCCAGTAAAATATCCTCATGTCCCTGGACTGAGGATATAAACAACTATTGTTTGATTCAGAAAACAGATTTCTAGCACTGTTTCAGGAGAAGGTGATTCTCTTGGTGTAATCACAAACATTTATCCCTCAACCAATATCACTGAAATAAACTATTTAGTTCTTTACCCTTATTGTTGCCTATGAGACTTTGCTGTGAGAAAATTGATGACTGTGATTCTCTACATTGTCTTGGTGAGAACTCAGGGCAACTTGAAGATGTGAAGTGCAAATTCTCTCTGTTCAACCTAGTATGTTGACAACAGGCAGTACTTGTGCCATACAACAGTTCACGAAAACAAATGTGTAAATTTGGAAGGCAATATCGACAAATTTTATCATAGATATCATAGAATCCCTACAGTGTGGAAACAGGTCCTTCAGCCCCACAAGTCTACACCAACACTTCCTCCTAATCTACACATCCCTGTACACTATGGGCAATTTAGCATGGCCTGCACATCTTTGGATTGTGGGAGGAAACTGGAGCACCCAGAGGAAACCCACACAGACATGGGAAGAATGTGCACACTCCACACAGACAGTTGCCAGAGGGTGGAATCGAATCCGGGTCCCTGGCGCTGTGAGGCAGCGGTGCTAACCACTGAGCCACCATGCCACCCCGTTTGATTGTTATTATTTAATCTAAGAATCCAATCTAATAGCTTTTTCTATTGAGCTTTTAACACAACTCTTATCACAATGGTTTTTTTTTCAAGCCACAGTGGCTTAAATCCGGGAATCCCTCCCATACAGCATTACTGTGTTTAGCATGTTCTGTAACATGGACTGCATTAGTTCATGAATGTGCCTCACCACCACCTTCATAAAGGCAATTAGGAATGGTCAACAAATGCTAGCTTTGTCAGTAATGTCCATATCCTACGATTGAAATTTTTAATATTACTTTCATTTGTTTCTCCTTTCATTTAAACTTCTCTTCCACTCTTTGTTTGAATTCATATTTCCTGGTATTTTAACCTTCTCTCCTTCATCCTTCAAGGGACATGCTACAGTCTAATTAAAGCTAGGAGCATCCCACTTCGACTGTTTTAAAACAAATCAAAATTATTCCTCCATACACTGATTATTTCACAAATACCCAATTCAATTCACAGAACTTTAAACTTACACAACGTTTTACTAAATATATAGTTGCATTTCAATGCAGTTACCTTTTCTCCCATGGATACACCCCCTGAAGTAATGATGATATCAGCACGACTTATCCCTTCATTGAGAGCATTCAGCAGGTCATCAGGGCTGCAAATCAAAGAAAGATATTGTTTTTTAAATAAATGAGAAACAAGAGTTGAGTATTGCTGAGGACAGCAAAGCCTGCATCTCCATTGTATCGGATAGAAAAGTACATTGGATCAGTCATAATTTCTTCCTGGCTAACACTGACAAAACTAATGCCACCCATTTTGGGTCCAGCAATAACACTTCCTATGATCTTGGCTCTATCACCAAACCTGCCGCAACCAGAGATACAAAATTTCCCCACACTGCTTGACTAGGAACTCAGTTCTTCCACCTGAAACTCCCCACTCCCCCTGTCCTGGTATGTTACCAGCATTTGTTTCTCTTCACGCTCTGTTGCAAATAACCTCCTCAAGTATTTAGCAATTTGAGGTTCAATTATTAAGACTACTTGTTGATTAGATTAATTTGCCCATACTTAAATTGACTGCTTTTAAGATAACTATCAGAGAAACAGCAGCTGAGGCTGCCAAGTGGATGAGGAAAAGAGGTACCTTTTTACAAAAAAAAGATTCTTCAATTTTATTTTGAATATAATTTAAATATTTTCTTAAAAAAGATTTTTTTATATTAGTGAGGTTTAAGACTTATTTGGGTCAAATGAAATCTGAAAAGCACTGAATCTTTAATTTTCTTATTGGTAATGTAATACAGTACACAAGTATTTCATTACACAATCTATGGATACGGGGACGAGGTTTGTTAGTGACTTGGTGTGTTAATAATGCTAGTACAGAACTTGCTTAAAAATTATGCTGACATCTATGCATTACTCCATAAGTTCTTTGTTTCGTGGTGAGATCAAAATCAAACATAAACAATTATTACAAGTTAAGTGTGAACAATGACAATATGATCATGTATTGGCATGAACTGGTTTTACTGGAAAATACAGTTAAATGTAAACGTTTAATGTTCTTATCTCACTACTAATGTTGCAAAATACAAAGACTGTCTCAAGAGTTACTGAACTGGAATCTACTGCCACCTGGTGAAATGTGAGTTTATTCTGCATCTGCTACTGTTTGCAATTTAGAACAGGGTGTGAATACACAAGAACTATAAGATGTTTTCATATACACACAACTTTTCTTCAACTTTCCACTCCAACTTTCAGATGGCATTACAGAAGAAAACAAAAATAATGGATAATGGGAATGATTGAACGGCTTCAATTTTGTCATCTGAATAACTTGATTTTGGCTTTTTTCAAAGCATAGAAATCTGGTTTTTGACATCTTTACATTTTCAAAATAAATTTTGAATTCAAATCATGCTCCCCACACAATTCATCTGAATATATTTGCTTGTGTAGGATTGCCTCATGGTGAACAAAGTAAAATCTGCCACAAAAATAATAAATTTTCATGGGATATTGATTCATTGTCCGATTAAAAACATTGTATAATCTGAAACAAATCAAATTAATTTACTGAGATATATTAGTGAAAAGATTCAGATTTACAACCAACAGTGATACCATGCAAAGTATTTTGATGGTAGGTACTGATTAGTAGTAAAGGGGAGGAATAGACAATTATTTCTTTATTGAACTACTTAGTCTGCTTAAGCAATAACTAAAACATAAATGTGTCATCTTTCAAATAAAATCTGTTCCCTGTTTATCATGAAGACGTAAGAAGTCTTGGACCGTGAGTAGAGAGAAAGCCAGTAAAGCTAAAATATGTATGCACTACAAGTATTGTGATGAGATTCATGAGAATACATACAGCACTCAACGTTAACCACCAAAGATGCACGCCCAACAAGATCCAGAGTGTGCTTTGCTATTAGGAAAACTGTTTATTCAAACCCAGATACTCTACAAAGTGTATTCCCATTGAGATGAGAACTTGTAGATTAAGAGATGGTTTTCTAATTTTTTGATCACCACCCCAGCATACAGTGAAGGAACTTGTGAAACGGTTCAAGCTGTGCAGGTTGCTAATACTCACTGCAGATCAACACAGTCACCTTGCACTGAACAACCAATTAGACTGGCAGTTGGTGGAACAGCTTGATTGAAACCAATCTGTTTTGCCAACTGCAAAATTTCACAGTTTACAACTGGTGACTTTCCTACATGCAGCTCATGGAATGCTGTTATTTTAAGCTTCTTATAGTTAGCTGAAACCATATCAATGGCAAATGTGGAAACAGCTTCTATTCTTCCATAACAGAAAGAGTCCTGGACCTTAAAGAGGACACACTACTCCAGGACAAGACAGGCAACACAGATTTTATCATATCAGTACTGTTAAACTGAACGTTCTGATGGAGTGTACCGTACAAATAATCAGAGTATAGTGTGCGACTAATGACACTGTATCTAATTTTGAATAACTGGCTTCTTTAAACCTATACATGCGAAATATTTATTGTTAAATTAAACCTATATCACAGTTTGCACTTTATTGCTTAGACTGGCAATTTCCACAGTACTTTATAAGCTTTGTATTTGAGATAGCTGAGTTTAAAATAAATCACAAAGCCCAATCTCTCACTCCAAGTTTAATTGAGCAAAGTTTAATGTTAAATATTATCCAAGTATGCCAATTTTCTGCTGCAGACTGCAAACTGAAAACACAAGGGACGTGTGTAATGTCAGTAATAAATGAGGTTTGTTACACTTACACCAGCCCGCTGACTGAGCCCTTAGAGAGCCAGTCAACTATCAAAAAAGCACAGTGCCCACTTGAGGCATCTAAGACTTATAAGAGCAGGCCAAACAACTGAGAGAGAGTCTCTCCTTAACCAATCAGCAGCTGAGTCTGAACCAGGAAATGTAAGTTAAAAGAGGGGATTCAAAGTCAACTAAGGAACATAAAGTAGAATAGAATGGCAAATAAAATGAATTAAGAGGGAGAGATACATAAGAAACAGAAAGAAAATAAAGACATTTTAATAGTTTTATTTCTTTTAAATCTCTGAGATCCTCCTGTATATAATTGCTATTGCATTAGAAATATTTTTAAATAAAGATTTATACACTTTCCATGACCCATCTTTTGGGTATTGCAATGCAAGGCGACATGGTGGTATCCCCAACCTCTGTTTCTTCAGAGTCCTGCAGTGTTGTGCATTGGGGTTCAAGAACAAATGATGTGTTCACAAAAAGGGAGAGGGAGGAAAGATAAGAGGAGGCAAGAAGAAGTTTGGAGACATTTAGTGGAATTGAGAAGATACGAGGGGGAGTGTGTGGAGAACAGAGTTAAAGTATGGCGGGGTGAGTCGAAGGAACTTGTCCCTTTGCTTTCCATTTCATCCCCGGCTTCTCACGAAACCCCATGTATGTGCCGTACATCCAAATAATGCAGTGCAAAACAGCAAAAGGGGAATAAAAAAAGCTGATCAACTTGACCTTTTGTTAGCTTCATTAGGGACTAAGAATTAACAAAACTTGACCGCATAAAATAAGTGAAGTTTTAAATAATGTTTTGTTTCACTCTGCCTATTATTGTAAATGTAGAGATGATCGATTAAGAACTTGTTTCAAAATTGATAGGTTACATTGAAAGCTATGTAAAGTCAACAGGTCTCCACCATCACCACCCATAGCTCAAGACTATGCGCCATGCACAACGACTTGGAGAATTTGGAGAAAGTTGATTAGTTCAATTCCTGGATAGCTGGTGTGGATTAGATTATTGCCAACAGTACAGAATACAATCCCTGTTTGGCTAGGGTGTATGCATGATCTGCCACTTATTCGAGCTGCGGTAGAGATTGTGCTTTGTGGGTCAGACCTGACTTTGGGCAGTTAACTCGAGAAGAAGAAAGTCACTGGCAGACAATTCACCATGTAGAGCCACCTGCAAAAGCCAGAAGAGATGCCATCAACTAGCTAACAGCCAGAGGCAGGAAATAATCAATGAGAAAAATGGGTGAAACTTAGGAGAGAGACCACCCAGTGGTAGTAAGATAGTAAGAATTCAAGACCGAGGGCTGATTGCTGGTATTAAAACAAATGCCTGCTGAGCAGCTCAAAGGTAAAGATTAGAAGGCATTGGCTCAATGGCACAACCTGACCTAAAATTTGGCAATTATGAACTTCAGAAAATAATCCACACCTTAAAACTGCACAGGTTCCTGCACTTCACAAGCACAAACTTTATAAGGGACTTAGTAGATAGGCTAAACTAATGATTAAAATGCAGGGCTCTTTTTAGGTTGGAAAGAGTGAAAGATGACAAAATAATCCACATAGCAGTAGTCAAATAAAGACAAGCTTAGGTTTTAGAGGCATATGATTGTAGGAATGAAAGGAGTTTAAGGCTGTGGAAAAATGGCTGATGCAATGAGCCTTGGTAGCTTCAGTGAAAATGCAGGGAAGAAGAAAAGTACATAGGATAGAATACTTGAAATTTAGGAATAAAAAGACAGTGAAGTTCAGAGAAGCAGAGTCTATAACTGATAAGCTTGATAAAAACAAGAAACAAATGATGCAGACAGACAGACCATGTTAGATGATGATTCTTTAGGACTGAGAGAAGACTCACTTCCTGAGTGAGGAAACATTTGGGAAATTAAGATTTCTCAAAACACAAAGAGGTAAAATTAAGGCTTTAAATTAAGTGAACTTTTACAGTGCAGAAAAAGGGTAATCAGCCCTATAGGTCTGTGCTGGTGTTTCACAGCACAGATATTGACAGATCATTTTATTACTTTCTCCCCAATGAACTTTCAGCGACTTGATTTATGTTTCTGATTTATAAAAGCAGCAAATTATTTAAAAGGCAAACTTTATATATTTGTTCATTTTGCATTTTGTGAGAGATTAATTTTGTAGCTCCGGAGAGTAGAATTTCCAGAAATAAAACGCATAAATTAATTATTTTGAATTGAAGGAGCAACAGTAGCAAACAAATGATGTATGGCACAGCATGCAATGTTCACTGAATTATAGTGAAATTATAGCTCAACCTGTTCAATCTTTTCCTGGTTATGAGTATTAATTCAAAAGAAACAAAAACTGTCATGTCCCTGAATTACCTTGAAGCAAAAGCACAATCGTAATTAATGTAACAATTGACAGAAAAAAAAAACAATACTTTTTATTGTTGGAACATTTTTGTGTTTTTTTAAAATCCCAGATCAAGTTGGCTGAAGCAAGAGACAATTTCAAAACTGGTGATTCACTGAGATTTTAGGATGGAAAAGTGCGCTGTCAATGTATCGCCTGTTTAATTTAATGGTTGGAATTCTACATTCAAATTCCAGCCCAGGGATAATAATGACTGAAAATACTCTACCTGATCTTGATGACAGTTTTTCCTCCACTTGTCACATATCCCCATAAATTTCAGAGAAAGTTATTTATCCCTGAGATCAATGCAAGCATCATTTCAGCACAGTAAGCCAAAAATCACTTCTTTTTATGTTCTCTTACGTTATTCATACTGAGTCTCAAGACTGAAAGACGTGTGTGGTAATGTTGGCAAAGGCAGACCCCATTTTCAACATACTTGGCAAAGTCTAGAGATTTTAGAAATCTCAACTGCATTTGTTATTTAAACTAAGAAGCAGTCAGATAAGAACAAGTCTTGCTGAACTACTTAAATGGTATAGTGTAGCTTTAAGCTGCAGATACACAAAACAATCAATCATTTGAATTGAAGAGAAAAACAAGCTAAAGCATAGCACTAACATATGCAACAGCAGTAAGTTTACAATTATATGTAGGAGTCCAAGTGCTTAAGACATGCAATTCACTTTTGAAGGTTCTGGAAGTATGGAAAGTGAGAAAACCTTAGCTTTGGTATTATGTTTGATGTATCTTTCAGCATTTATTAACCAAATTTGATCACGTCTGTTGAGCACAAATATTCTTTAAAGGCTAACAGACAATTTAACTTTGGAAATACAAGTACTTGTGAGGACTACAGCACAACTTTAGAGTGCTTGATTCCTGTTGAACTGCATACCAAATGGTAGAATCTATGTCAGAGCATGTTGTGATCAAACACTGCTTTGGAGTGTATTAAAGATGTTGTGATGAAACACGAAGGGAAACTTTCAAGTGGAGTCAAGTAAAGAGGAAGCAAGAGGTCATCACAACTGACACAAAAACAGAAATTGCTGGAAAAACTCAGCAGGTCTGGCAGCATCTGTGGAGAGAAATCAGAGTTAATGTTTCGGGTTGAGTGACCCTTCCTCAGAACCTGACCCAAAACGTTAACTCTGATTTCTCTCCACAGATGCTACCAGACCTGCTGAGCTTTTCCAGCAATTTCTGTTTTTGTTTCTGATTTACAGCATCTGCAGGATTCTTGGTTTTTAATATTCAAGAGGTCAACCCTATTAATAACAATGTATAACGTTAAAAAATAACTAATCATCTTTTACACTTCCTAACACACAAAATACTAAATTCTAAGGTTAATTTATATTTTTATGTAGAACTTCTGGTTTTGGTAGCGAGGATGTTAATGTGGAAAACTGCCCAGGTATGTCCTGCACACAAGAAGCAGTACAAATCCAGCCTGGCCAATTAATCTCCCAACAGCCTACTCTTGATGATCAGCAATATGACAGAAGCGGTCGTTGACAGTGCTATCAAGCAGGAATTGCTCAAGAATGACCTGCTTAGGGATGCCCAGTTTGGGGTTCTGCCCAGGGTCACTCAACTCCTGATCTTCAATTTGTGAAGCAGACTGTGTGTCCCTGTGCAGCATAAACTGGATAAAATGTTCAGGCTTGGGCTGACAAGTGGCAAGTAACATTTATAGGTATTAACCTCAAAATTGCTGGGTTAGCTGAAATGAGCTTAAATTAAATAAATTGAGGAGAAAACATATGAAATCTGGTAATGGCCTAATGACTAGAAAGGTCACTTAAAGTGTTTGGCTGAAGGAATGTGCATGTTTACATGTACTGAAACTTAGCAGTAATGGTCTGAACTGTCACAGCAGCTCTGGGGAAGCTGAAGTTTTGTTAAAAACAGACACAGCAACTAAAATGAGAAAGGCTAATGTCTGACCTTGAGCATCTCTAAAACCAGGAATTTTAATGGAAAAAGCACATGATTAACATGAACATCTAGTTTTCAAAAGAAGCACAATAAATAACAGCACTTACTTATCTCCAACAATTCCCAGGTTGATAGTTGGGTAACCATGTTCCTGAATTGTTGCGAGAAGGGTCGAACGATTGCTGTCCCGAATCTTTCCTGGTGTTAGTTCGTCCTCAGGATTCAGGAGCTGTAGGAGCAAACCACAGAGATTAAAATATCAATCCAGTACTCGATTCATGGTTGTGGTTTGCTAAGCTACAAAGAACAGAGAATTCTACAACTTGATGAACTGATTCCTTGATAGAACCAATATGCTTGGTGGGTATGTGCCAATATATGACAAAAGAATATTACTTTCTTCTCCACATACCCTCCGCCTGCCATTGTGTGTCTGGAAAAATTAGTAAAATTTCAATGAAGTTTAAATGAGTGTACAAGATTGATTTACATGCCGGATTGTGCAGCTACAGTGATATAGAAATAAAAGTGGGTCATTTGAGGTACATTGATACTCTTGCATTGTATTGCCTTCTGGTACTGAACTTAACTAAAGGGCAAACTTACCGTTTCAACAGATGTTAATCTGGAATCCTTACATTGCAGAATTACGTAATTGAAGTCTCGTCAAATTAAATTTTTATTTGGTAACTCTCTAAACAAGGCCTGGTCTTCTGCAATGTTCGTGGAGTCGGTCCAGCTTTTAAAGGATTCTTGGTTCATGGCCCCTCAGAGGTGTCATGAGCCATTATCTGGATAAGGGAACCTTTCAAAAGCTGAGTTCAAAAATCCTCATCCATGAGGTCAAACCAAGCTATGCCGTCCCCCCACCCACTTCTCATTGCTGCTTATACCTTTCATGCCAAGTAAAAGGGAAACTTGCCGTAGTACCAGAGTACCATAGGGCTGCTCTCTCATTAGAATGAGATGATTGAGTCAATACAGTGTGGAGCTGGGGGAACACAGCAGGTCAGGCTGCATCAGAGGAGAAGGAGAGTCGACTTTTCAGGTTGGGACCCTTCATTAGGACTGGTTGTGATTTAATTTGAGGGTCAATGTGCCTCAGGTAAGGGGCGAGGTTGGGAAGGCAGGGCCTTCATGGTAACCTGAGCTGGCTCAAGAAATGAACTCATGTTGTTGGTGTCACTCTGTATCACAAGCATCCAACCAGCCAACTGAGCTAAATGACTGACATGCAAAGTAATGCTCCTTCACTAACTCCATATACATGCTCCTTCATTCACTTCTTGAATGCTTCATATCAATATATGATACATCCAGGCCCATAAGACCTCTATATACTCTGTACAGAATCAGTGAAACTTTAGTAACAATAGGAAGTGATTTAAAAAGAAGCTTTCAAAATCATTCGTTCATAACTTCACACTTAGAAAAACTCCTTACACCAAAAGAAGATCATCTTGGCCCTTTAAGGTATCAACAGCAGAAGCTCCAAGCTCTTGAAACCTCCTTGTCTTGTGTAAATAAACATTGTGCAATTCACAGCATTGATCAGAGAGCTGAAGCCGTCAATCAAGCAACGTTTTTACCAGGCTCAGCTGTTTCAAACGTCTATTGGATGTCAGCCAAGCCTCATTATGCAGTCGTGGGAAGAGATATATTTGTTTCAAAATAATAACCCTATTTGCCTCAAAAAACAAATGCGACTGGACCTGTGTTTATCCCAGCACTTTCTGTATCTATTTCAGATCTCCAGCATCTGCCATATTTTGCTTTATCTCATTATGCAGTCTAAGATTTAACTGATCACTTTTAGTTAAAAAAGATTCTTGTGTTCTGTACTTAAAAACACATACATACAATCAATTAGTCTATCCTTCCCACCCATACACTTACTTCATTTCCTGTAGACATCACAGCAACCACAGGAAACTTGTGAACTTCAACTTCAGTTACTCCAACAGTTGCTAGAAGGCCAATTTCAGAAGGCCCCATGTGGGTACCTTTAGCCAAAACGCATTCTCCTCTTTTTATATCATGGCCTATTGGTCTAAGAAAAAGCAGGAAAAAATCAAATGTCAGTAGTGATTCTGAATAAATAAGATAGATACCAATCTGAATTACTGCTGGAAGCACATCAAAGAATTCAACCAATTATCGTCATCAGTTATTCAAAAGTTCTGAGTTTCAGTCAAGCGGAAGACTGTTACTCTCTCATTGAGTAATATCGCATCTTATTAATAAGTAGATGGGTGACTAAATGGAAGATAAAATATATCATGGCTAAACCTTCAAACCTAAGCAGGAACCATACACGTTGAAGGAATAGCTATTGGTCACGGTCAAGAAGAAAACAGTTGATTGTGTTTACTAAACATCAATACAAAGTAGCCAGTCAACGTGGAACATTTTGACAAAAAATACCTCACAACCCTTTGATCATAAACCAATACATAAAATTTCAAACTTTGCTTAATTCACTGGTAAGGGCAAGTTGCCTTTAAAATACAAAACTCTAGATGCACAATCCCCATCACATTTAGTGGGTGTGGTCATGTGAATGCGAGTTAACTGTGTATATACGGACAGTGTAATAAAACACCCCCACTTTTCATAAGACATTATTATTGAAAGTATAAGGGATTTTGATGCACTTCATAGGTAAGCATAGTGCATCATGATGTGCATAAGTAGCTTTGGATCAAAAACTGCTAATTGCTTACAAAATTTGAGAAAACTACATTTAAACCAGCACAATTAAACCCAGTAAAATAAATCCTAGATTGGAGATTGGAGCTAATGTTGAAACATTCTTGATTTTCTTAATATATGCCCACTCCATATGATCATGAATGTTTTTCATATAACATATAACAAGGGTGTGATTCAAACGCACGACAATAACAGCGCAGGGCACACAGTTAAATTCATACTTGCTTCTTTCATTTGTAAAATCATCCGCTTTCCTTTCAACAACAGATTGTGGCAGTTGTTGCCTATGAAATGCCCTGGCTAATCTCAACATTTCTGAATTGCTGCCATCACATTTATGAATGCTTTCAGAATTAACCTTCAATAAGGTGGTGATTCAAATGCTTTAAGTCAGGATTGCCTGGAAGAAATACCTACATTTGTCTAAATGAGTTTGCCCTCCTCAATTTGTCATTGCATCCAGAAGGTGATGCACCCTGTGAAATGTTTTGAAACCTTTTTAAATTACATGAATAGACATTAAAAACTAGTAGAGATGTTCATGTATCAAAGCTCATGGGAGGCAGTGGCATGATACAGGGAAGGCGGTGGTACGGTGGTACAGTGGTAAGGTCACTGGACCAGTAATCTAGAGGCCTCGGCTAAACCTCTGGTTCCAATCCCCCAATGGGAGATGGTGAAATTTGAATTCAATAAAATATGGAATTAAAAGCCGGCCTAATAATGACCATTTGACCATTAGTGGTTACTGCAAAAACTTACCTGGTTCATGAATATCTTTTAGGCTTACGTGTGATTCCAGAACCCCAGCTATGTGGATGCCCTCTGAAATGACTTGTCAACTCTTATGGCATTAGATCGACCTCCTCCTGGATACTATCTACCACCCCTCACTGGCTGCTGAAACAGTACTCCTCCATGTTGAATACCATTTGGAGGAAGCACTGAGGGTAGTAAGGGCACCCAATGTGCTCTGATTGGGGTACTTCAAGTCCATCGCCAAGAGTGGCTTGGTAGCATCAGTAGTTACGAAGCTGGTTGAGTTGTAAAGGATGTAATTATTAGCCTGTGTCAGCAGCAGGTGGTGAGATAACCAAGAAGGCAAAACCTACCTGACCTCACCAATTTACCCGATGAACATGCATTTATCCACGACAGTTTTGATAGAACTGACAAGCGCACAGTACTGGTTTAGAAGAAGTTGCACCTTTGTATTGAAGATACTCTCTATCATGTTAAGACCCATAGACCGCAATCAGTAAGGATAGGTGACAACACCTCCTCCGCAATAATCCTCAATACTGGTGCCCCGCAAGGCTGCGTACTCAGCTCTTATACACTCACAGCCGTGTGGCCAAATTCAGCTCTAACTCCAATTGCAAGTTTGTCGATGACACCACCGTAGTGGGTCGGACCTCAAACAATGATGATACAGAATACAGGAAGGAGACAGAGTGCTTAGTGGCATGGTGTAAAGACAACAATCTCTCCCTCAATGTCAGCAAAATAAAGGAACTTGTCATCAACTTCAGGAAACAGAGTGGGGGATACGCCCCTCTGTATTAACGGTGCTGAGGTGGAGGTGCTCGAAAGCTTCAAGTTCCTGGGAGTAAATATAACAAACGATCCATCCTGGTCTGTTCACATCAAAGCTACAGTCAAGAAAGCATACCAATGCCTTTATATCTTCAGAAGGCTAAGGAAATTTGACATGGCCACAATGACTCTTACCAATTCTTTAGATGCACCATAGAAAGCATCCTATCTGGATGCATCACAGCTTGGTATGGTGTCTACTCTGCCCAAGGCCGCAAGAAATTACAGATTTGTGAATGCAGCCCAGTCCATCACAAAAAGCAGCCTTCAGAAGGGTCTAGACCTGAAACGTCAGCCTTCCTACTCCTCTGATGCTGCTTGGCCTGTTGTGTTCATCCAGCTCTACACCTTGTTGTCTCAGATTCTCCAGCATCGGCAGTTCCTACTATCTCTTCTACACTTCCCACTGCCTTGGGAAAGCAGCCAACATAATCAAAGACCCCTCCCACCCCAGTTATACGCTATTCCATCAGGCAGAAGATACAAAAGTTTGAAAACATGTTCCAACAGATTTAAGAACAGCTTCTTCCCTGCTGTTACCAGATTTATGAATGGACCTCTCATATATTAGAGTTGATCTTTCTCTGTACCTTCTTGGTAGCTATGACACTATATTCTGCATTCTGTTTTATTACCCTGATATACTTAGCTAAGGGATGATTTGTCACACAATACACTATTTTTCACTGTATCTTGGTATGTCACAATAATAAATTGAAGCAAAAAAAAACTAAGGTGGAACTACACCATGCTGAATGGGATTGACTTCAAACAGATCTAGCAATTCAAAACTGAATATCCATGAAGCAGGATAGGCCATCATCAGCAACAGAACTGTATTCAACCATGATCATGGCCATACTTAGCCCCACTCTACCATTACCATCAAGCCTGCAGATTACCCATTGATCAATGAAGAGTACAGGACAGCTTGCCAAGAACAGCAGCTAGCTTGACTAAATATGAAGTGTCAATATGGTGAAGCTACAACACAGGACCACTTGCATGCCAAACAGCAGAAGCAGATTGCAACAAATACATTAAATCAAAGCTCTGCAGTTCCTGCTACATCCAGTTTCCAATGTTGGCAGACAATTAAACAACTCATTGGAGGAGGAGCATCCACAAATATCCTCATCCACAATAATGGGGGACCCCCACAAGATCAGTGCAAAAGACAAGGCTGAAGCATTTGCATCCATTTTCAGCCAGAAGTGCGGAGTAGAAGATCCATCCCTACCTCCTCCAAACCTGGCATCACAGGTACCAGTCTTCACCCAATTCAATTCATTCAACATTATTTCAAGAAGTATTTGAATACACTGGATACTGCCAAGGCTATGGGCCCTAATAACATTCTGGCAGTAATACTGTGCCTTTGAATTAGCCACAGCACTAGCCATGCTTCCAGTAGTCATAACACTGGCATTTACCTAGCAATGTGGGAAAATGTTCAGATATGAATTGTACACAAAAAGGCATAGCAAATAAACCTGTACAATTATCTGTCCGTTAGTCTACTCTCATAACCAGCAAAGTGACCGGAAGGGGAGCACTTGTTCAGAAATGACATTCACTGATGCTCATTTTGGATACTGGCAGGGTCGCTCAGCACTTGACCTCATTACAACCTTTGTCCAAACATGGACAAACAAAACTGACCTCCAGAGGTGAGGCGAGAATGACTGTCCTTGCCATCATGGCAGCATCGTATGGCATCAAGGAATACTCGCAAAATTAGAGTCAATGGGAATGAGAGGGAAAACTCTCTGCTAGTTAGAGTCATACCTGGCAGAAAGGAAGATGGTTTTGTGTCTGTTGGAGGTCAGTCATCTCAGCTCAAGGACATCACTGCATGAATTCCTCAGAGCAGTGTCCTCGATACAACCATCTTCAGCTGCTTCTTTAATGGAGGGATATTCGTTGATGATTGTGTAACATTCAGCACCATTCGTGACTCCCCAGATATTGAAGCAATCATTGAAAATATGCAGCAAGAGCTAAACAACGTCCAGACCTGGGCTGATAAGTAACAAGTGACTTTTGCAACACACAAGTGCCAGACAATGACCAACTCCAACAGGAGAGAATCTGACCATCACCCCTAGTTGTTTAACGGTACTGATTGTTAAACACATACTATGAGGACTTTGTGGATTACCACCGACCAGAAACTGAAGAGGACTAGCCATATACATACTATCACTACAGGAACAGTTCAGGGGGCGAGGAATTCTGTGTTGGGCAACTCACTTCCTATGTCCTGGTGTCTGTCCACCATCACAAGGCATTTTAGGCTTGCTATGGATCACTGTCCACTTATCTGGATGGATGCAACTCCAATAACACTCAAGAAGTTCAACACCAATCCAGAACAAAGCAAACAGAGAGTTGTACAGGCTAAATGTATATCTGGTAGAATTTGGAAAGGTAAGCGGTGGGACATGTAAAATCCTGAAGAGTCTTGACTGGGAGGATGTGGAGAGGATGTTTCCTCTTATGGGAGGATCTAGAATTGGAGGGGGAGGGTCACTGTTTAAAAATCAGGGGTCACCAATTAAAATGGAGATGAAGCACTTTTTTTTCCTCGGAGGTGACTGATTATTTGTGATGGAAATAGAAACAAAGTTGATGACTATTTTTTAAGGCAGAGGTGGACAGATTCTTTTCAGGCAAGGGGTTGAAAAGTTACTTGGGGCACATGAAAACATCGATAAGGTACAATCAGACCAGCTATGATCT